TATAGGCCTAGCAAAGTGCCAGGTCCCAAAGTGGAGCAATCCACCTATTGCTAATGGAGTTTGGGCCACAAGAATAGAAGTGTTAAGGGTGTCTCTGTACATACCAGTAACCCTAGCTACTTGGGAGGCTGAGGCAGGAGGACAGAAAGTCCAAGGCCCACCTGAACAATTTAGTAAGACCCTGCCTTAAAATAAAATAAATCTTACCTCTGGGCTTAATTCCCAGAACTACAAAACATAGGATCTACTTCGTGGTAGAGCATCCCTGGGTTCAAGCCTCAGTACTACAATAAATAAATAAATAAATAGATAGATAGATAGATAGTAAGAGTCAGGCATGGTGGCACACACTTCTTGTGCATTCCTGCGGTTTAGGAAGCTGAAGCAGGAGGAGTGCTAGTTCAAAGCCAGCTTTAGCAAAAGGGAGACGCTAAGCAACTCAGTGAGATCCAGTCTCTAAATAGAGTACAAAATAGTGCTGGGATGTGGCTCAGTGGTTGAGTGCCCTTAGTTTAATCCCGACACTAATAAATAAATAAGAGCCCTGTGTGATAGCTCATGCATAATCCCAGCAACTCTGAAGGCTGAGGCAGGAAGATCCCAAGTTCGAGGACAGCCTGGGCAACTCACTGAGATCCTGTCTCAAAATAAAGAATAAAAAGGACAGGGTTGTAACTCAGTGGTAAGTGCCCCTCAGTTTAATCTCTAGTACCTAAAGTAAAATAAAATGGGGATGTATCTCGGGGATAGAAACTTCCTGCGCTCAATCATATCCACAGTACTGAAAAAATAAATGAATAAAATAAAGCAAAAGACAAGGGCTGGAGTTGTAGCTCAGTGGTAGAGCGCTTGCCTAGCATGTGTGAGGAACTAGGTTTGATTCACAGCACTGCATATAAATAAATAAAATAAAGGTCTATCAACAACTAAAAATATATTTTAAAAACAAACAAACAAACAGAAGACAAAGCAGGAAGGGAGTCAGAGAGTACCTGGCCTGGCTGATTAGTCACATGCTGTGATGGTCATGAGGATTCATATTGTCTGGTGTGTGAACTTTAATCTTTTTTTTTTTTTTTTTTTTAAGAAAGAGTGAGAGAGAGTGAGAGAGAGAGAGAGAACTTTAATATTTATTTTTTAGTATTTGGCGGACACAACATCTTTGTCTGTATCTGGTGCTGAGGATCGAACCCGGGCCGCACGCATGCCAAGCGAGCGCGCTACCGCTTGAGCCACATCCCCAGCCCCGAACTTTAATCTTTATTTAGTTCCAAATCATACAGTTATTGCCTTGGCTTTATACCTATCTGGGCTTGGCCTTCCTGTTGTACCCTTAGTACATAGTTGGCTAGAAATCACCGAGCACATATGACAGTATTTACAAATAGTTGAGATGGAAATGGGGTAATACTGTTTAGTTACTTCTTGTCTGTGTTTCTTTAACTTGCCCAGGGGATGTGAAGAAGTAAAAGGCTCTAGAAGTATACTTTAGAAAAATTAAATATCTTCTCTGATTTCTTACCTCTTTTATATAAAAATTAGGTACTGAAGAAGGTGAAAGCCTCCCAAAATTGAAATAGGATCACTTTTCTTAATTTGGGAAGTCATGCTGATGAGAAGAGAAGTTTCAGGAGGCATGTACCAGTAACACCAGCTACTTGAGAGACTGAGGCAGGAGGATAGAAAGTACCATGCTGATATACAGATTCCATTCTGGTTTTTCCACTGTTATTAGTCAGTACTGTTTGGGCAGAGAGGATGTGGTACCCTGGGCCCAGGTGTGGCCAGTGTCTTTTCTTTCTCTGATTTTATTACCATCATAGTTTTAACTATGATTAAGTATTTAGATGTTAACTTGTGTATGCTTTAACTTTATTTTTTTAAGTTTTATTTTTGTAGTGCTGGGGATTGAACCCAGGGCTTTGTGCATTTGAGGCAAGCACTCTACCAACTGAGCTATATCCCAAGCCCTATGTTTTAACTTTTTGTGGTGCTGAGGATTAAATCCAAGACCTCATGTGTGCTTGTCACTGAGCTATATCCCCAGCCCTTCTTATTTTTAATTTTGAGGCAGAGTCTTGCTAAGTTACCCAGCCTGTCCTTGAACTTGCAGTCCTCCTGCCTCAGCCTCCTGAGTTGCTAGGATCACAGGCATGCATCATACCCCAGCTCAGTAGACATTTCATGCATAAATGAATGGATGAAGTATCCAAGTCGGGCAAAGTGGTGCACATCTGTAATCCTACAGACTTTGGAGACTGAGATAGAGGATTGCAAATTCAAAGCAAGGCCCTGAGCCATTTGGCAAAACCTGTCTCAAAATAAAAAACAAAAAGTTCTGAGGATCTGGCTCAGTGGTAAAGTGCCCTTAGGTAAAATCCCCGTTCCCAAAAAAAAAAAAAAAAAAAAAAAAGAAAGAAAAGAAAAAGAAAAAGAAAGAAAAGAAAAGAAAACCACATTTTCTTGGGTTTTGGGAATGGGTGATGAGGTATGCAAAGTTTGCTCAGGGAAACTCAAGACACATACACACATCACACACTGGGGACAAAGGAAATTTGGGTAACAGGTACTTCTGTAGGGAGATTTGGATCTTGTCTGTGTTTCTTTAACCTGTCCAGGGGATGTGAAGAAGTAAAAGGCTCTAGAAGTATACTTTAGAAAAATTAAATATCTTCCTGGAGCCAAATGATCTGTAGAACTTTAGGATACCACCCAGGATATATTTCATGTGTTGTTTGACACTGTTCCAGTATTAGATATTTAGATCAAGTGGACCTGCTTTGTAATATCCCATCCTGCTATTTGTTTGTTTGTTTCTTTTCTTTGTGTACCAGGGATTGAACCACTGGGTCACAACCGCAGCCCTTTTTATGTTTTGAAACAGGGTCTCACTAAATTGCTTAGGGCCTTACTAAATTGCTAAGGCTTTGAACTTGTGATCTTCCTGCCTCAGCCATGTAATTTGGATTACAGGCATTGCCATAGTGTCCAGACCACCTTCTAGACTCTTAACCAATAGGAAAGCAGACTAGACCATTCACAGATGTAATTAAGACCACCTGGAGCCTGGCATGATGCAGCTCACCCGTAATCCTAGTGACTCGGGAGGCTGAGGCAGGAGGATTGCCAAATTTGAGGACAGCCTCACCAATTTAGCAAGGCCTAAGCAACTTAGCAAGATACTGTCTCAAAACAGAAAATAAAATGGACTGGGTATGTAGCTCAGTGGTAATGCATTTTTGGGTTTAATCCCTAGTACCAGAAAAAGGCTCCCTGTTTTACTGACAGGAATAAAGATAGGATGGGACTCAGCGGGGAGCAACCTGTTCTTATTCTAACTCAGTTACCTCAAAAGGGTTTCAAAAACAGAGAGGAGGGGCTGTGGATTGTGGCTCAGTGGTTGAGTGCTTGCCTAGGAAGCATGAAGCACTGGGTTTTATCCTCAGCACCACATAAAAATAAATAATATTGTGTTCATCTACAACACACACACACACACACACGTGTGTGTGTGTGTGTGTGTGTGTGTGTGAAATAATTTGTATCCAAGAGGGAGGCAAGAGAGAGAGCCAGAGCAGGTGCTGAGGGACCCTTCATCCTTTAGTATAATCTAAAGGAATACAGGGCTAAGGGCCACAGCAAAGATCCCTGCTTAGGATTTTTTCTTTTGGTAAGCTGAGCCACATCCCCAGCTCTTTTTATTTTGACAGTTTCTTTCTTCCTAAGCATAGGGCCTTGCTAAATTGCTGACGCTGGCTTTGAACTCCCTATCCACCTGCCTCAGCTTCCCTGAGTTCCTGAAATAATATGTGTGCCACAGCACCCAGCAAGATTCCTGCTTAGGGCAAGGGAAGAATTCCTTGAATTGTTTCAAACATAGGAAGGGCCAGGAACCACCAATTAGGACACACATTTTGGGATCCCTGAACCTCAGGACCATACTCCAGACTGAGTGATACTGCTCACATCTCTTGTCTGCCTAAGCAGAAGCTGTCCCTGCATTGATAGGAAACAGCTCCACAGCTGTCTTTAAAGATTATTGGCAGCAAAGTCAACAAATGGAGGGGTGGGACCTAAGCAGACCTGAGTCAATAGCAACACTTGGCCTCTAAGATAGGATCCTATCCTAGGCCTGAAGGTGCAATTGCACCTCAGTGCTGGGTTCTAGTCAGGCAAGTTACACTGTACACTATTACTCTGAATATATGAATGGCAGCAACTGGTAAGGCCATCATCATAGCAGATAAAAAACAATTTGGAAGGATCTAGCAAAGTAATGGGAAACTTTTTTCGGCGGACACACAACATCTTTGTTTGTATGTGGTGCTGAGGACTGAACCCGGGCAGCATGCATGCAAGGCGAGCACGCCACCGCTTGAGCTGCATCCCCAGCCCAATGAGAAACTTAATATTGCACAAGTCTTGCCAGGCATGGTGGCTCAAGCTTATAATCCCAGTAGCTTGGGATGCTGAGAAAGGAGGATGGTGAGTTCAAAGTCAGCCTCAGCAATTTAGCAAGGCCCTAAGCAACTCAGTGAAACCCTGTTTCTAAATAAAATACGAAAAAGGGCTGGGGATGTGCTTAGTGGCTAAAAGCCTCTTAATGTCAAAAGAGGTTATGTGGGCCTAACACTTGGTGAGATCCCAAAGTCTGAATGTGAGTGGGGCCCATGTTTGTGAAGGTCATGTTCAACAAATTCTCAGAAGGGAGAGGCTTAATACTGGGATTAGGCAGTTGGCCTTGTCTGGGTGTCTTTCTCTTTTTTAGAGTAAGGACTTTTGCTGTAACAACAAAGCCTCAGAAAGGCCTTGTTGAATGTTCTGGCAGAAGGAAAAGCACAGACAGAAGTGAGGCATCCCACATAGGAAAAAATGGATTGCACAGGATGTAGACCAAAGGACAAAGAAGTTCAGATTTGTAGATTAAGCTCTTACCTATATGATAAAGAGGTTGTATGAAAAGTGCCCTCAGATGACACTGACAAAGAACAAACACACAATTCCGTGTCACCCAGCACTTTATTAGTGGTAAAAATTGCCTTGGTCTAGGCAGAGAGGAGGCAGGGATAAACAAGCCCAGCGCCCTTCTATGGGGATTTTCCCGGAAATCAGGCGTTCCTCAATGCAGGTTTAGAGTAAACACCATCATGGATGAAATCCCCACAGAAAGCAGCTGGCAACTGCCAAGTCAGGATACGAAGAGTGTCCTAGGCACTGCTGGGCATCTGAGACAGCAGGGCTTCAATGTCAGGTTCTATGTCGATGGTCGGAAAGCGGCGGCTGTATCTGCGCACGGGCACACCGTCAGGGCCCACCAGGAACTTCTCAAAGTTCCAGGCAATATCATTGCGGCACACCGGAGACCAGATGATGAATTTGGGGTCGGTCATGAGTGCACTGGGGTCATCGCTGGGCATTGGCAGGGCCTCCCGCAGGAATGCGAAGAGTGGATGTGCCTTGGAGCCATTCACCTCGCACTTCTCGAAGAGGGGGAAATTGGGCTCGAACCCGCCACCGGGTCGGACGTACTTGAGGGAATTCAGAATCTCTTCGTTCTTCGCGTTCTCCTAAAGGGAGGCAAGGGCAGCTGGGACTCGGGCCACGAGAAGTGAGCCCTTCAACCCCAAATGGGGAGTTTTTCGATGAGTCACCAGGATGTTGCCCTCCTTGCAGCCGCAAGGAGCACCGGAAGGGAAGCCGGTGGCCCGCCTCTTCACGCAATGGGCCAAAGGCTACCAGGTCTGCGCCCCGAACAAAGACTGCGTGCCCACCCTTAACCCACCCCATCCAGCGCACCTGATGTCCAAACTGGTTGCACGGGAAGCCGAGCACGACCAAGCCCCGGGGCCCGAGGCGCTCCTGTAGCTCGTTCATTTGGGTGTAGTCCCGAAGCGTGGTGCCTCAAAGAGAAGCCACATTCTCGATGAGCAGCACCTTGCCCCGCAGAGAGCCCAGACTCAAAGGCTCCCCGCCAGCCAGCGGGCGCGCGGAGAAGGTGTACACTGTGGACTGGGCCGCCATTGTCGCCAGCCTAGTGGCACACATGGCGTGGGTGTCAGGGAACTGAAAGAAGTTTATCAGCACAGTTGGGGGACCCAGGCAGTGCCTTTTAACGGGTCACGGCAAGGTCACGTGACACCTACACTTTTCCGGCCCTCCAGCCGGCTCCAGATCTGACAGTCCCGCCTCATCCGGCCTCCACCCTCCCCAAGGGCCTCGCCCCTCCCCAAGACTGGAACTACCAGGAGGGTGCGGCCCAGCGGAATGCGGTCTTCACAAAAGCCAGGCAGAGGCTAGGGCATGTCTGGTCTGGCTCAAGCAACCCTGCACTAGGCTGGAGACCGCTGCCGCGGTTCCCGCCGGGAGCCCTCGAGGCCTCAGAATTCATTCTCAAAATGTTCCTTAGGTTGTGGAGTCCGGCCTGGGAGATTGGCCGCCGCCGTGGAAGCAGCTCATGCACAAACAGCCCTCCATCTTGTACCCTTGCAGTATGTGCCCTACTGTCGCCAGGTACACAGGTTGACTTGCAGCGTTGGTGCAGTCTACAAGGGCTTCCAAGGCAAGTAGTTTTTCAATGAGGCTCTTTAATTTTAGGAAGGTCAAACTGAAGGAGGGGTGGGGCAGGGCTCCATCCTGTAAGACAGTTTTCACTTCCCAATATTGTAGGGCTTTCTGGGGGATACTCATATCCAGGCCTCTGATTTTCCTTCTACCTTTCTGCTCCCAGTACAGCAACACCCTTAGTTTTTCTATTAACAAGTAGTGTCTCTGCCACCGACCTAACAGTCGAAACCTCTTGGGAGTGGAGCTCCCTGCTCAACAGCTCACTATGGCCAAGAAAATTCAGTGGCCCCTTCATGTCTCACTAGGCTCATTCCCACTCCACCCATCCATGCTTGGAAATTCAATGTGACACAGGATAATCATCTCCATGTTCTTGGGAGAAGCCAGATTAGTGCTGAGTATGTGTGTGTGTGTGGGGGGGGGCTCTACCCCTTTGCAAACAAGCTGGTATTTTACACATACCCTGAAGGAACAAACCTCTCCAGGGTGAGCCAGGCCAGGAGGGCTGAGCCCATCCTCCTTTCCCAGCCCTGGAAAGAGCAAAACACACACCAGGATACAGGAAGTTTAGAAAACTGCCTTTATTCTATTAGTTGGAAAAATTAACTGGTACAGAAAAAAAGTTTAGTCAGCTGGAGAGAAGAGAAAAACCAAGTGCCACCCATGAGAACTGGTGGTTCCTCTGGGAGGGAACCTGGATACAATGAGAAGAAAGGAGCATTGTGAATAAGAGCCAGACCCTGCAGTCTAGGTGAGAGGTTATGCCACCTTCAAGTGTCTAATTGTTTCAGGCATGAAACCAAATTCCTATTTAGCCCAGCTCTGGAGAGGGGTACTGGGAAATGTGGGGCCAAAAAAGGGTGATATGGCCATCTTTTATCAGAGAAAGTGACAAAACGGGAATTTTAAAAATGAATTTTCCATCTGACTTTATTTCCAAATACACTTTCTTTTTTAAAAAACCAATACACTTTTCTGTGGGATGACAAATATCAGTATTAGGAAATCCAATTATACAAAAAATACTACATCTAATCTGGGATAGATATATTTATTTTTGGTAACATACATTAAGTGGCACTAATTACACAGTAACTATAAGGTAACTAACAGAGTAACAGAACTGTAACTCTGCCACAGCTGCATGGACTTGGGCCTTTCTGGCTGAGTACACTTTCAAACAACTAAATGCCCACCCCAGAGCTATGCCAATGAAATTGGCTGAGGAGTAAAGCTCCAAAGTGATGACTCACCAGATTTCCTTGCAGCTGACAGATGACAGGCAGGACATGTTAGTTATAAAGTAGTTACAGCCTAATTCACAAAAGTTACCGTTTCTCTTTCTAGAAAGAAGCAAGAAGTTAAGAAATTCTTTGAATTAGCGCCTGGTGTGTCAGGTGGAGTGCAGAGAGGGCTGTTAGAGCAGTGTCAGAAGAACTCTGGCAGGTCAGACAGGTTGGACATCATTATTAATCATGGTTTGGCTTCTAAATACTGGTAGCAAGATGACTTCTGATTTGTAATCTTAGGTAAATTATAGATAAATGAAAAAGGCCAGTAATCATATACTAAGATTAATAAACAGCACTTCAAAATTAACCGCATAAGGGCTGTGCTTGCAGCAAGGTTTCACAACACAAGGCACCCAGATTTTTTCTTCCCACGTCTGGCTTGCAGAGCAGCTCTCGTGGCCATTTCAAAAACCTCCCTCACTCCATCTTTGGTCTTTGCTGAACACTCCATGTACCCAAAGGCGCCAATCCTGTTTGCCATATCTCTGCCTTCTTCAGGTTTTACTGGCTCCTAGAAAGCAAAAAAGAATGTTTTCAGCAAATTCTGTTAAATATACACAGTACAGAATATTTAAATTCAGGTAAAAGTTTGTGTTGTTTTTTTTTTGGGGGGGGGAGGCGGAGATAGGGTCTTGCTATGTTGTGAAGGCTGGCCTCAAACTCTTAAAAGACTCAAGTGATCCTCTGGATTTAGCCTCCTGAGAAACTGGGACTAACACTACACTGCATCAGAAACCCTTTTGTTGTTGTTAAAACCGCCAAACTCCCAGATTTAAACTTGTTTTATGAAAATTCTGGAATTGGTATGCAGTAATTACTCTTTCACCCCACCCCCAAAATAAAATCTCTATTAAGCATATTCTTCTCTGGAAAGTGAGATAAAGAGGGAAGGGATCAAGGGAGTCCTGGAAGATTAAGGAAGGAATCCGGGACAAGTCCTTGGGTCTTCCTGTAATTAGCTTTACAGAGGACCAATGTCCATGGACAGAAATAGGGCCTGCCCTTGATTTTCAGGTAGTAAAACCTCAGTGGCTTTCTTGGGTTGAAGAGATTGACAGTATTTCTATAGTGTGGAAGTTCTACCATTAGGCCATCTGGCTTCTGAGAGGCTGAGATGTCGTCACCACCACCATTACTTCATTATAAAGACATTTGGTTAGGGGCTGGGGTTGTGACTCAGCGATAAAGTGCTCACCTAGCATGTGCAAGGCCCTAGGTTCAATTCTCAGCACCACATATAAATAAATAAAATAAAGGTATTGTGTCCAACTACAACTAAAAAAAAAAAAAAAGACATTAGGCTTTCTGTTTGGACTTCTTGCCTTCAGGATTTCCTTATCCTTCAGTTGCCACTAAATTATCTTTGGCCTCACATGAACCCAGGTAATAACTAAAGAGGGAAATCAAGAGCTGAGGGGCTGGGGATGTGGCTCAAGCGGTGGCGCGCTCGCCTAGCATGTGTGTGGCCCAGGTTCAATCCTCAGCACCACATAACAAGGATGTTGTGTCCGCCGAAAAGCTAAAAAATAAATATTGAAAAATTCCCTCTCTCAAAAAAAAAAAAAAAAAAAGCCCGAGAAAGGTCTTGTATTTGAGGCATTGAGTACTGTTGGAATGTTTTCTTCCCAGGCTGATAGTCCTCAGGGGCACAGCTCCTCAAAATAGAGATTCCATGCTGGGCATGATAATGCACACCTGAAATCCCAGAAACTTGGGAAGCTGAAATGGTAAGAACTCAAGTTTGAGGCCAGCCTAGGCCATTTAGCAAGGCCTCAAGCAGCAACTTGGTGAGACCATGTCTCAAAATCAATAAAAAATGGGCTGGGGATGTGGCTCAAGCGGTAGCGCGCTCGCCTGGCATGTGTGCGGCCCGGGTTCGATCCTCAGCACCACATACAAACAAAGATGTTGTGTCCGCTGGGGGGGGTGGGAAATCAATAAAAAATAAAGGGTTGGGGAGGCAGCTTAGTAGTTAAACACCCTGGGTTCAATCCCTAGTACCACCCCCCCACCAAAAAAAAAAAAAAGACATTCCAAGGATGGAGGATGTAGCTCTGCAGAATGCTTGGTGAGCACTGCAAGAGAAAGGGGAGAGACACATTTCATTTCACAAGACTTTCTCAGGGCTCTTCTATGCAGATACCAGTCAATGAAGTCCAAATAGATAGAGAAGGATTTCTGGGTCTCTATAAACAACTTTATTTTGAGGGTTTCTGCCAGGTGCCCAAGTTAAGAATGCTATAGGAAGACAAAACCCTATCCTAGAACATGCCTGCTTCATCTTGGCTAACTCCCGCCTTGTGTGCTCATCATTCCGAAGATCCTTCTTATTCCCAACCAGGATGATGGGTACATTGGGGCAGAAATGCTTGACTTCTGGAGTCCATTTTTCTGGGATGTTTTCTGAAAGAAAAATGCACAGAATTTGGGGATACAAATTCCATCTTGAAGAATCTTCAAAAGCCCTAGTTAAATTGCACAGATACTTCCTTTGAGAAGTATTTTGAACACACACCTACTAGTTTCTAAACCACTTGCTTCACATGCACAAGGCCATGGATTCAATCCCTAGCAACACACACACACACACACACACACACTCAAAAAGTGTTGTGTTCCTCTGCAGGTGGGGCCAAAGTAAGGACACTGGAGGAGCAAAAGATCCAAAACATTGGTTTCACATGGTATGACTTGTCCCTGAGAGAGGGATCCTCACTGGCCATGCCTATCATTGCTAGCAGATGAATTCAGACCCCAGCTTATAGAAGGTTTCCCCATTCTGGGGTTCTAACTGGCCCAGTTCTATCTTGCTCACAGGCTCAAAGCATAACCTCCACCCCGCAAATTTACTGGTATTTCAAATGACTCAAGAATGACATTGGCAATACTGGGAATTAAACTCAGAACCCTGCACATGATAGGAAGTGCTCTACTATTAAGCTACATCCCCAGCCCTTTTTATTTTTTATATTTCTTTGAGAGAGGGTCTCACTATTTTTTTTTTGACCAGGCTGGGCTCAAATTGTGGTTCTCTTCCCTCAGCCTCCCAAACACCTGGAATGTGCTACCATACCCAGGTATGAAAAATGACTGAAAATAACAAAATAATAATAACTGTAATACTAGCTGTAATTTCTTTCCAAAACTGTATCATTCTAATTTTAAAAGGTTGTACAGGGCTGGGGCTGTGGCGCAATGGAAGAGCACTTGCCTGGCATGTGTGAGGCGCTGGGTTCAGC